TCATACTTTCAGTTGATTTTTTGATTTGGTATATTCCCATGCTGCTGAGGCAGACAAGACAGAAGAGAAAAAGTAGATTGTATTTGTCTTTGTGGGATTAACGTATAATCATTATAAAAATAATAAAGTATTTTGTATTTTTTTGTACTAAGTCTTTGAAATTCAGGAGTGTCTTGTATGGATGGCATATTTTAATTTAGACTAACCACATTTCAGGGGCTCAGTAGCTATTTGTGGCTAGATCATTCATAAACCAAAAAGTAGAGGTTGCTCAGCATTCTGAAATAGTTAAGGGTCTCTTCCCAACATTAAGTAATTTATGCTTTCTTGTGAAGTATATTAAAAAGTTCTTTCTTTTCTCCATTCATCATTTTCCTATGTATAGTAATTTTGTCTAATAAATTTCTGCCTAATCAGTGTCCATTACATTTGCTTTGTCCTACACCAGTTTAATGTCCTATATTACAAAAAATTAGCATATCTTTAAATTTTAGGTGGTTTTGTTTTAATTACAAACTTACCAATATTTTTAACAAATATAAACACTGTGATGTATGTAGTATAAATGATAATAATCCTTTATTTTATTTTATTTTATTTTATTTTATTTTGAGACAGGCCCTCAAGGTGTTGCCCTGGGTAGAGTGCCATGGTGTCACAGCTCACAGCAACCTCCAACTCCTGGGCTTACTCGATTCTCTTGCCTCATCTTCCCAAGTAGCTGGGACTATAGGCTTCTGCCCCAATGCCTGGCTGTTTTTTGGTTGTAGTTGTCATTGTTTGGCAGGCCTGGGCTGGATTCGAACCTGCCAGCTCTGGTGTATATGGCTGGTGCCTTAGCCACTTGAGCTATAGGCGCCAAGCCAGTAATCCTTTTAAATACTTTTTGCTCTTTCATTTTCTGCTGTCTCAGATGTAACCACTGTTAGCAATTTAGGATAGTTTCTCTCTCCTTAGAAATGTACTCTTAAGAGAAATTCTTGCTAATTTGAGAACATTGATACTTTGAAAATGCTTTTTTTGGAGATAGAGTCTCACTATGTTGCCTGGGTAGAGTGCTGTGGTATCACAGCTCATAGCATCCTCAAACTCTTTGGGCCTAAGCGATTCTTTTGCCTCAGCCTTCCAAGTATCTGGGACTACAGGTACCCGCCACAATGCTGGCTGTTTTTTGGTTGTAATTGTCTTTTTGTTTGGCAGGCCTGGGCTGGATTTGAACCCTCCAGGCTCAGGTGTATATGACTGGCGCCCTAGCTGCTGAGGTACGGGCGCCAAGTCGGAAAATACTACTTAAATTTAGTGAACCAGTTGTTCATGCTCATGCCTGCAATCTCAGCACTTTGGGAGGCTGAGGCAAGATTCCTTGAAACCAAGAGTTAGAGACAGCCTGAGCAATATTTCAAGACCCCATAGCTGCAAAAAAAAAAAGTAAAGCTATTGAAAAAGGAGACGTAGTATCATGGATTTATTAGGGATAATCTTTAGAAATGGAAACAATCATTTTACCATATATAGTATTTAATGAAATATGTTATAAATGTAGCTGTGGTAATTCTCAGAGTTAATAAAGAATGATGTGATAATTTTTCTATTAAAATTATGTGATAGTTGGACAGCATCCTTCATTTTTTTATTTTTATTTTTTAGCATTTATCATATAAATTAGACTAATATATCAGTTTTACCAAAACTATTGAGGGCTTTACTGGTTTCTTAAGAGATTTTCTTAAATACCTTGACATTTCCTTTCTCAATTCTTACTCTATCATCATCCTTGTTGAATTATCCCTTTTTTACTTGTTCGTGGATTTGATTTTGCCAGAATCCAAGGGTTTTGCTGTGAAATGAGCACTTTCTTCAATATTATTTTCATAGACGTTATAAAATCTGCATTCTTTACAAGATTTGTATTTTTACATTATAATTGAGTAGTGTTGTTTTAGTTTATGTGATTGAATGTTTACAACATTAGGCTATTAGTGGGAGATTGATAGCCAAAGCCTGGATATATCATTGTAAAGTGTACAGTAGAAATGGATTTTGCAGGGTTTTAGGGCACATTGGGAATATTTTTGTATTATAAGGATTTTTTTTACTCCCTCTACAACCTCGTAACTTAAAGAACTCAAGGCTTTAAGTAATAATTCAAACTTTATAGAGACGTTTATCATGTCTGGCAAATTAATATACATGTATCATTGAAGTAATCTCCTCAATGTGCTTATGAAGTTTATTATCTTCATTTTGTGCTTTGAGTAAACTAAAGCTTTTACCACATGTGAGTAATTTGTTCAAGGTAAGGGTTAGTGAAAGTATGGAGCTGGAATTCTAACCCACGAACCACACGTATACTTGACTACACACCCTTGTATACGCATATCACCATTGTGTGATAAAAAGATAAGTTGGAATTGTAATTTTTTTCCACTTAGCATTATGTTTTATATATTGCTCCATTGTAGGGCTGTGCCATAATCAAAAAAAATTACTCTTATTTAGGTTGTTTACAGTTTGTTTATGTTACTTTTACTAATGGTTACTGTTCTTAGTAACTAAGAGGCTTAGATTTTAATAGCCATGTGGGAAATAAGAGTGGAGGCATGGAGCTTGGGAGAAATGAGGAGTTGGAAACCAAGTTTACTTCCTAAGGCCTTAAATCTCAAAGGATTGTACTCTCACGCAAAGGGTAAACAAGAAAAAAATTATTCAGAGTGACAGAAAGGGAGTAAGTAGCCATGTATGTTATCAGAGTTCTGAGTGAAGGGGAAATGTTTCCTCTAAGAATTTATAGCTACTATGTTACCTGCATATGAGTTTGTATTTCCAATGTATATCAACCACCTGGTCCATGTTGTCTGACTGTATGACATTCTCTTAGATAAAGCTCCACCGAAGTTGAGTTTACTACCCAGAATTATAAAACAATAAAAATTATTTTGACAGTATCTTAACCAAAAGTCAGAGACTCAGTAAAAAGCAGAATTAAATCTTCAAGAACTTCAGAGAGGAGGATGATTAAACATTCAATGCTATAGTAAAAATTTAATATAATTTTAAATCAATTAAAATTAAAACAATGTTTTACATAATAAAATAATCATTAGATAATAACATAAAAATATTAAAAGTGGTTTAAGATACAAGAAGAGAACAGAAATAAGAGAACAACAGAAAAACTATTAAAAAAACATAAGATTAGGGAAAGGATGGGGAAAAACAGTTTAAAAATCTTAGTCATTAAAATTTAAAAACTAATTGGATTGGGTGAAATGCAGAATATGCAGGTTTGAAGAGAAAAACCAACGACAGGAAAGAAGATAAAGCTGAAGATATTGCCCAGAATGGGCAGAATTGAGAGAGTCAGAGCTCAAATACTCAAATTCAGGAATCACAGTGTTGTTTCAGTGGAAAAATAGTATTAAATACATACCTAAACGTATAGTAAGTACTTGAGAATACCAAAGACAAAAGGGAATATTTTAAGAATCATCAGAGAGGAAGAAGAGAGAACTTACAAAGCAATGACATTTAAGCTGACAATGATTTCTTTTTCTTTTATTTTATATTAACCAAAATTCGCACTTTATTCAGTTTCTAACAAGTATCTTTTTCTAGTACAAGATTGCATTTAGGGTACTACATTACATTTAGTCATCATGTCTTTTTAGGGCTTTCTTGTCTGTGACAGTTTTTTAGACTTTCTCCCTGTTTTTTGATGACTTTGACAGTTTATTTATTTATTTTTTTGAGACAGAGTCTCAAGCTGTTGCCCTGGGTATAGCGCTGTGGTGTCATAGCTCACAGCAACCTTCTACTCTTGGGCTTAAGTGGTTCTCTTGCCTCAGCCTCCTAAGTAGCTGGGACTACAGGCGCCTGCCTCATTGCCCAACTATTTTTTGGTTGTAGTTGTCATTGTTGTTTGGCAGCCCAAGCTGAATTCGAACCCACCAGCTCCAGTGTATGTGGCTGGCGCCTTAGCCACTTGAGATACAGGTGCCAAGCCAGACTTTGACAGTTTTGAGGATTCCTTGTCAGACATACCAGATATTTTGTAGGATGTCCCTCAATTGGAATTTGTCTAATATTTTTCTCATGATCAGACTGGGGCTGTAGGATTTGAGGAGAAAGACCACAGAGGTAAAGTGGCATTCTCATCATATCAAGGGTACATGTCACAAACAGGGCTTATCGTGGATGATGTTAACCTTGATCCGTGGCTGAGCTAGTGTTTGCCCTGTTTCTTCATTGTAAAGTTACTCTTTTCTCTGCTTTCCATATTATACTCGTTGCAAGGAAGTCAGTACACAGAGCACACACTTAAACAGTAGGGAGTATCTGTAAGAGTTACTTGGAATTTTCCTGCACAAGAGATTTGTTTGTCCTCTCCTATCTATTTAAGTATTTGTGTATGGACTTAGAGATATTTATTATATAGTTTGGGTTATAATCTAATACTACTTTATTTTCTTGTTCAAATTGTTCCAGCTTTGTTCCCTGGGAGCTCTTTCACTTGTGACTGTCTGTGTGACATACTCGCAATCACTATAATTTTTTTTGTGTGTATGTATAGCACTTCATTTTTCTGTGGCACAAGATGATCCAAGTTTATCTTGTATATTTCCTGCCCCAGTGGTAGAAGCAGTCATCTTGCCAAGGAGCCCTAGTTGCTTTTCTTGGAAACCAAGATTGGAGCACAAGATGTGCTCCCCCTTTTATCTATTTTCTGGCTATATAACTGCTAACAAAGATGCTTCACTCTGGCTGTACTGATGGGAAACTTCAAACTTTAGCAGAAAAGCTCAGTTCTAACAATTTCCTAAATTACTTTTTCTCTCAAAAGATAGGTTAGTCTAAGCAGAAAAAAATATATACGAAGCATTTTCATTATAAACTAAGTGAGACAAACCATTGGGCTTGCTATATTGTAAACCAACCCACCACCATTAAAAAAAGAACTGCAGAATGGTCCTTAGAATAACAGAGTCATTTGTCGGGGGTCATCAGGGAAAATACTGATGGAATCTTCTGCTTTGCCACATAACAGACACAGCATGGTATACTCCTGAAATTTATCCGTGATACTGAATGTATACTCATGCCTGGCTGTTACGTGATGACAGTTCTTACACGGATCTGGATCACAGGTCACTATTTCTTCTTCATCTTCTTCTTTTGAGGATTTGTTCGTGATCAGCATAAAATCCCTACCACACACTGCACAGCCTGTAAAGTTCAGCAAGAAAGATCCATTCTCTAGGCAGGTGTTACCCCTGTTAGGATACTCCTTCTCCACACAGTCCCCACCTAACAGTGATTTCTTAACAGAAATAATACAGGTCAATTTATTTAAGGGTGGAAGCAATGTGAAGATATTTTCAGAGAAAAACTAAGAGTATGTAAGATGGTGTTACTAGATGAAGATGGTACAGCTGCCTGTTACTCTCAGCCAATATACAGAGACAGGCATGGTTCCACCAAACTTTATCAAAAGGTGGGTGATTCTGGAGAACAGTGAGAGTAGCCTCTCCAAGACTGTTCTGTTCTTCTATTTCGAAAATCACAGTTTTATACATAAAAGTTAAAAGTAAAAATAACGTTAATCTTTATCTTAAATAACAGTAATGGGCATATAACCCATGACCTATAATAAACAGTAATCAGTGTAACCCATGACCCAAACAACATTCCAATTCAAAAGTTAATCTTCTAAATCAGTTCCCCTACACTACTCAAGATAAACACTTGTAGGTTAAAGCTGAATTTACAAAGCAGCAAGAATAGGTGACAGGAGGTGAAGATCATGCAGGATCTAAACCGACCAGACCATAGCCCTAAGCCTGAATGACTCCATCTTATTCTCACTACATGTGCTTTCAATGAAAGGGATTGTGAAGCAAATTTATTGTACAGTTTCTAGAAGACAGGTACAAATAATAATTAACTTGAGATATTTAGATAAGTATATTAAAATGCTAAAAACAGACTAGAGATAGAATTTATAGCTTTCGTGGCAATAGAGGAAAAGTAAATCTGATCAATCTCAAGGAAAGGAGGAAAAGAAAACTACAAAGAAATAAGGTAAATGAAAAGGAAGCACAAAATGTAAAAGCTGAAATACATTGAGAAGTATCCACAATCACAATAAATATAAATGAATTAAACTTGATAATTAAAAGACTGAAGTTGACACATTGGGTAAAGAATACACAATTCAGCTCCAGGCTCATTGGAAGAAAGATACCTAAAACATGATGACAGTGAAAGGACAACCACTCAAAGATAATTAACTTCTGAAAGTTGCTATAGGTATATATACTTTTAGACAAAATAGAGTTTAGGGCCCCCTCAAAAAAAAAAAAATTGACAATAGAAAAAGGTCACTATATAATGATACATGTAACTACTAGGAAGACAAAACAATTATAAGTACCTGCTATGGTTGAGATGTAGTTTGACCCTGCCAAAATTCATGTTGAAATTTTTTATTTTTTATTTTTAGAGACAAGGTCTTGCTATGTTGCCCATGCTGGAGTGCAGTGACTCAAACTCCTGGCCTCAAGTGATCTTCCTCCTCAGCCAAGGAGCAGGGACTCTAGGTTTTGCTCCCAATGTTAAAGGCCTTTCATGACCCCAGTTGCAAAAGAAATTCGTAAAAATGCAACATGGCTTTATATTAAACAAGCAGTATAGTTTTCCTCCTCCATTACTGGAATTTCTCTGCTGGGTCCTTGGTCTTGAGAAATCAAAGAATGAATTCACAAATCGCAGAATAAGGAATGCAAAGCCTTTGGCTCAATAGAAGGGTTCCCAAGTGAGTTGCTGATTTTGACTGTCTGCCTAGAGTTTTATAAGCAGTTTCTTCCTTCCCAGTAGGCAGGAGGATTTGGGGAAATGGCATGTATGTCTAAAATATATGTCACAGCCATTGGTGCAAAAGGCCTATGGACAGAAATTAATTTTAAAACAGTTGTTGTATAGCAATGTGGCATGTTTTGGGTTTCAGCTTTTCCGCGGGAGTGGTGACTTAGATGGAACTTTGATCTAACTAGTCTATGAGCCTGCTTAGGCCTAGAAAATGAAGTTATTGTCCACCCTTAGGTAGAGGGACCTGCATCACCTCCATTGGTGGTTTCACTTTCTATGATTTCAGTTACTCATAGTCACCCATGGTCTGAAAATATTATATACAGTAAGATATTTTGAGAGAGAGACCATATTCACATAATTTTTATTATAGTATATTGTTATAATTATTCTATTTTGTTATTGTTAATCTCTTACTGTGCTGAATTTATAAATTAAACTTTATCACAGATTTGTATGTATTGGGAAAAACTTAAGTTTAGTACTATCTATGTAGAGATTCTGGAATATATTCTTGCAGATAAGGGAGGGCTACTTACCTCGAAAGTCCTCAACATAGGAATGCTTCTCCTTTTTGTACGTCTGTGAGATATTATGAAACATGGTCTTTGCCAGGTAATGGTTGCTCATGCCTGTAATCCTAGCAGTCAGGGAGGCTGAGGTGGGCTCAAACTCGTAAGCACAGGCAATCCACCTGCCTCAGCAAGAGTGAGGCAGGCTCAAGAATGCCTGAGCAAGGGTGAGACCCTGTCTCTACTAAAAATGAAAAACGGAGACAAGAGAATTCCTTGAGCCCAAGAGTTTGAGGTTGCTGTGAGGTATGACACCATGGCACTCTACCAAGGCTGACAAAGTGAGACTCTGTGTCAAAAAAAAAAAAGAAAAATGGTCTTAGTCAGTGGTATATTGGAGCATCTTCTACTGGCCTGAGAGCTGATTGTTTAAGTTTTAGGAATTCTGTAGAGTGATTACTAAACACAGCTATTTTTAAAACATTAAATTACATAGGCTTACTTAAATAACTTATATATTTTTGAAAGGTAATAAATACTTAAAACTCATCACTACCTAGTTATTTTACTACATTTTATTATGACTTACGCTTTTGATGTTATTTACATATATTTTACCTCTGTGGTTGAAATCCTGTATAAGAATATATTTCACATATTTTCCAAACTCTTTTTTTTTTTAATTGAATGGTAACTATGTACGTTAATGCACTTCTGAGGTACAGTGTGGAGTTTTCACATGCAATCCGAAATACTTCCATCAAACTGGTCAACACAGCCTTCATGTCATTTTCTCACTTATTGTTTTAAAACGTTCACATTCTACTCTTAGAAGATTCACTTTATTTTCCAAACTCTTATGTTCAATGAGGTCTCATTGATGGCTTGAAATTAGCCATTTATACTACAGAGATTGGCAAATGCCATATAGCAGGGCTTGATTTATTGATTGTTTAGACTTACAGTGATGGGAGAAAATGCTATTAAAGAAAACATATCATATCTTAAGCTATTATATTGTGTAATAACTAAAAAAATACAAAAATATATTCCTTCATTGTTCAAAAATGATAATCTACTTCAGTTTAGAAGTCACTCACATCATTGATACCATTGATGTAAACAAAAACATCAAGTAATTGGAAAGGTGGTTGCTCAACATTTACCAGCACACTGTTGGTCTTGGCACAGTTGAATTGAAAATTTCCTAGGAAATTCAAAATTTCCTATTTTGGTAGGAAATACTGTAAATAATATAAATTTATCATATTGTTATTCAACTTTAGGAAATAGTATTATGATAATATGATAATATGTGGTCTTTAAGAAAGAAAGAAAGGTTGAGTTTTAAGTCATTAACCATAGCATATAATAATTCAGAAATATATAATTCGAAGCTTTTGATAGGTCCATTGCAGATTAAAATAGAATCATAGAATTTAGAGTTTGAAGAATGCTTAAAATTAATGTTAGACCCCCTTGTCTTATAAATGGAAATTCTTTCCTGGTATATGTCACCCATCTAGCCTTTATTTAAATTCTTCTAAAGATAGACTTTATTTCCTGACAGTAACACTGGAGAACTCTAGAAGTTGAGTTCTCTCTTATATTGGGTCAGACTTTGTTTCCTGTCACTTCTACCAGTTGGTTCTAGTACTGACTTCTAGAGAAACAGAGAAGAAAAATTTGTCTGTTCTATAGAGCAACCAATCCTTCAGGTATAAAGTTAGCTGTGGGTTTTCATTTAGGTCTCCTTCGGAAGAAGTATACCTTTAGTTCCTGTAACTAAACATCATGTGGCATATTTTCTAGACTCTGTAATCTAAGACTGTATTGCCTTTTAAACATCTGCATCACTGTTTCTTGGCTTTTATTGACCTTGTGGATAAAGTAAAAGTCTTAAAAAGTCTTTGGTCTTTCTTTGCACACACAGAAGTCAAGTCTTCTGTCTTCTGTTTGATTATTTTTTTCTTAAATTCCAAAACAGATCCTTGTATTTATTATTTATTTCATACCTTCATATTGCTTTTAGCATAGCATTTCAGATTATGGAAATGATACTGAATAATAATTTTACTTATTTTTTTAGAGACAGAGTCTCTGTTGCCCCACTTAGAGTGCAGTTTTGACATCATAACTCACTATAACCTCAGACTCCTGGGCTCAGTGGATCCTCCTCCCTCAGCCTCCTAATAGCTGGCATTGCAGGCATGCACCACCATTTCCAGCTAATTTTTCTCACTCTTGCTCAGGCTAGTCTTGAATTCCTGACCTCAAGCAATCCTCCTACCTCAACCTCTCAAAGTGCTGGGATTATTACAGGCATGAGTCACTATGCCTGGCCCACTTTTGATATTTATTAATCCTATCACCTTTGTGTCAGTTGCACATTCAAGAAGCATTCCATATTTATTGTCCCTCCAAATTATTGTTTAAGATACGGAATTTCAAAGGGCTGTGGGGCATAGTCCTCCTTTAGATAAACTCTAAATTTACATCTACCCGTTATTAATACTTTTCATTGTTGTGAGTTCTCTAAACAGTTCTGTTAAGTAGTCCACATTTTACCATTTTACATCCAAAAGTTCATCATGTTTTTTTTTTTTTTTTCAAATACTTATTAGGAGATAGGCTATGTGTTTGGCATCCCTTCAAATGAAACAACCTTTAGTACTTCTTTCGTCTTTGAATATTAGGCATTTCTTGAAAAATCCTGGCATACCACATGTTAAAATCATGTTCTTCTACAAATGCAAAGATAGAAAATCCATTAAGAATGGTGGGCTGTGGCCATTAAGACATCAAATCAGAAAAGGATCAAGAAGACATCATCACTGGAGATACTTGATGATCCAGGCCATGGTATTATTTGGACTGAAAGAAAATGGTCTGTGCCATAAGAGCAGAGCTTCTTTATGGAGCAAGTATTCTGAATCAGGTGATATTTAGGGATCTGGTATAAATAGGATTTGTTAGCCCTTTTTTCTCTTCTTTCGCATTGTGTTTTTCTTTTCTCTTTTCTTTCTTTTTTTTTTTTTTTTGAGACAGCCTCACTATGTTGCCCTCGGTAAAGTGCTATGGCATCACAGTTCACAGCAACCTCAAACTCTTGGGCTTATGTGATTCTCTTGCCTCACCCTCCCAAGTAGCTGGGACTACAGGCACCTGCCACAATGCCCGGCTATTTGTTGTTGTTGTTATTGTTGTAGTTGTCATTGTTGTTTTAGCTGACCCAGGCTAGTTCAAACCTGCCAGCCTCAGTCTATGGGGCTGGTGCCCATAACCATTGTGCTATGGGTGCCGAGCCCATTTTGTCTTTCTTTTGAAACGTATGTTGTAGAATATCAACAGTGGATGCATCTCAGTGTTTATCCGTGTTTCGTTCTGTGTATTGCAACTAACTCCTTAATCTCTTTGCTTTGAACAAATTAATACCTTCTTCATAACATTATTTTAAAGATTGAAAGAATAACTTGAGTATGAATTTGCCTAGCACATTTCCTTCTATTTAGTACATAGTAGATAAAAGTTTATTTAATATTTGTTAAATTTCTTGTCCTAACCATGATAGAGGTTGTCATGAAGTTACTGGAGTTAAATCATCTCATCATGGTTTCTTTGGTTTCTATCTTCTTTCATTCTACTGAAGGATGGATTAGTAGATCTGTTGCATTACTGCTATAAGCAGGAAAAATTTATATTAATAAATTTTAATTTTTATAAGTTAATAGTTAAATAGTATTAATATAATAATGCATTTCTCTTTTCCTCTGCCTTATTCTTTTCTAAAAATATCTTAGATCAAAAGCAGCATCTTTTAGGAAGCATTCCCTATTTAGTTTTTTCATTTTCTGGCCAACATTCAAATTACTCAAATCATTTTATTTATATACATATATTTGTGTTGAACACATGTGGCTTTGGGGGGTCATGTTTTATGAGTACTTGATTAGTGGATATCATTGTTCTAATATCTGTTTTTAATTTAGCCTAAGACAAGGCTACCTGTTTAAAAAGTAAAGACGACTTGGGAAGTAGAATAAAGAGTTTTAGAGAATATGAAGAAAGGATATATGGATAAAACTCATTGGTCATGAGTTTTTTTGGGAACTTACTTCCCTTAGTTGTGTACCTGATTACATAAATTATTTTATGGCAGGTTTCATTTTCATTTTTAACTTGGGGATTTCTCAGGATGGATTAGTAGACTCTGCCTAGCCTTTAAAAATCTCATGGTTCAATACATTGTAATTAGTGTCTGGTAATTAAATCGTTCTCTTTTTTTTCTTACAGATTGAGGTGTTGCCATGCAGCAAGAAGCAGAGAGATGTAGAGTTCGAGCCAGAAGGCCTGACATGGCACTATATGTACCTAAAGCTCGAAGGGGTGCAGTTCTCCTCAAGGCAGATAATGAGGCAAAAAGCTCTGGTTTGCCTAACTCTGTGGTGAAGGAACAAAAGGAAGGCTGTCTCTCTCAAAAGGAAATCTTTAGAGACAAACCTGAGGCTCAGAGACTAAGTATTAGTCCTGATAGAAAGGACCATAATTATAGGGAGGGAAAGAAATCTTCAGCAAAATTAAGAAAAGACATATGCCTTCAAAAAAGAAATAAAGATAGTGTTTGTATTAAGAGAGAAACTACAGAATCCAAAGAAATACTATCCCGAAGACATCAACAAAGAGCCTCAAATACTGGGATTATACATAATTTACCTGTACAGAGACATTTTAAACCAAAGAAGGTAGAGGGTTTGGGTGTTGAAACCCGCCATGTGACAGGGCATGAGAGAATGCTTTTATCACAGTTTTGTTCAGAAATTAGTGAGGCTCAGGTTCTAAGCAAATCATTTCAAGATGTTGAGGTCTGCAATTTCAGTAGGCACGAACTAAGTGGGGAAACATTTGAAAATAGAGATTTGGAAAGCAGAATTGAAGCTGATGCCAAGGTTGTGGAGATACTATCCCAGTCTCCTAAAGTTTTTAGTTCTGTATTGAAACCTGAGAATATGATTGCAACAGTAAAACTAAGCTCTGATTCTGGAATTGTACAACAAGGCATACAGACATCCGATGGAATGTTGAAATGTAGCAGAGAAGATACCACTGCTCTTTATGTTCCTCGAAGTCTAGATAGAGTCATTGATCAAACTTGTGTAGACTTTGAATCTGAGAATGTAGGTGATATAGCTAGTACTACAGATTTCATCTTGTGTCAGAAAAGTAAAGGTTCCATTCCTGAGACTATGGGTCACATCTCTCATAAAATGTCTATAGCCAGCAGATTAAAGAGCACAAATGGCATTGTTGATCCAATAATGTTTAAAAAGTATGAGAAGAATGACAGCATTGCTGATGAGTTATGTGTAAAGTGTGAACCTTCTGAAACAGATACAGATAATGGACTTAAGAGTGTAGGTGACATTACCAGTAAAACGTGTATGATGGACATTACAGATGCCTTATGTGATCATATAACTGTTGGCAGCCCTTATGTGGTTGCAGTTAGAATAGCTGATGAGACCTGTAACGATATAAGTAGTTTCACAAAACATACAGCAATGAGTACAGATGCAGGTCCACCTTATGTAGCTGGAAGTGGGAATGACACTGAAAATTCTAGCAATTTGACAGCTTGCTCAGATATTTATGCTCAGAGTATTTCATCTAGTTGTATAGAGTCAACAGGAAAGTTGACAGAGAGCCTGTCAGATTGTGCTTCCTCCTCACCTATAAAGAAGATTGCTGATGGTAATTGTAATACTTTTTTGGACTCTCAACTCAGCATGTTAAATGGGACAAAATTACTTTCAGACAGTGCCTTGGGCAATGATCTGGATAGTACTGGTGATATAACAGAGACATTGCGTGAACTAAGAACTTCTGAAGAGTTCAAAACAAAAGAGCAAGATGACTCAGAGAATATAGAATTTGGTGTATCCTTTCCTGATAGAGAATCATTATCTATGGAAACATCCATGGAACTGAAAGCAACTGAAACTTCTGACATGGAGGAAAGTAATGCTCCTGAAGAGAGCTGGGAGTCTTTGTTTAATGATGATGGTGATTGCCTGGATCCACGTCTTCTACAAGAGGTATGTTTAATTGAAATTGCTTGATGCTTAGACAGTTTATAGCTATGGGCTACTGGTAGCCTTCCATATCTCCAAGCGCAGCCCTTGTCGGAATCCAAAATTCACAGAACAAATTCCTTTATTCAGTCAAAAGGCCACACTCAAAGATCCATAGGCCACATAGCCTGGATTCCCCATTGACTTAGGAGTTTGGAGGTAGTTTTGATGGACATTTGTGCACATTCATACATTCAGTCATTCAGCTTAAGAGTTCTTACTATGAACTAATAGGATTGTAGGCTGAGAAAAGAATATCTGATAGAGCATTAAAACCATACCAAATTATACTGTATCTGTAGTAGCCAGACTCTGAGAGATCTTAAGGAATAGATTAAAGATGAGTTTAATAGATTTATGCTATCTGTTGAGGAAATACCAAGAGAAACTTCTTCAAATTGTTTTTCTGTGTTGACAAGATGTATTTTACAGTGGCCTATTTGGGGGAAGGAGAATAACTTACTACTATTATTCCTATTTTATTTTTCTAGTGGCTGTTGGAATGTTCTTAGACACTGCAGAGCAGCGGTTCTCAGCCTGTGGGTCATGACCCTTTTTTATCAATGAAAATACATTGGAGCATTAGGAAGGTTGAGAACCACTGCTGTAGAGGGAAGAAAATAGGGAAGGGAAGGATAAAATAAAAGTGTCATTGTTTTTTAAGGAGTTTATACTGAGTTAAATTGCAGAATAAATGACTGTTTAGCAGATAGGGAATATATAAGTGAATAATGGCATGCTGACCAGTTGGAGTCCATAAGTATAAAATGCTGAATTTGAAGCATCTTAGAAGTTACTTACTGGGTGGCGCCTGTAGCTCAGTGGGTAGGGCGCTGGCCCCATATACCAAGGGTGGTGGGTTCAAACCTGGCCCTGGCCAAACTGCAACAAAAAACTAGCTGGGCACTGTGGCGGACACCTATAGTCCCAGCTACTTGGGAGGCTGAGCCAAGAGGAATCGCCCAAGCCCAGGAGTTGGAGGTTACTGTGAGCTGTGTGATGCCATGGCACTCTACTGAGGGCGATAGAGTGAGACTTTCTACAAAAAAAAAAAGAAAAAGAAATTACTTACTTCAGTCATTTTATTCTTTCTACCAGGCCAAAGGGTTTTTTGTTTGAGCTATTCCAGAGAGCCTTTTAAATACTAAGTGATGAGTCTTTTATTTCTAAGAATTAAACTAAAAGTATGGAAAAATTATCACATGCACATTAAGGAGCTACTTGTGGCTAAAGAGCACAGCCCGTTGGATGGAACTGACATTCTGAGCAATCCCACCTCTTTCTAGAAGGTATTTGCATGCCTTGAGTTTCTCTATACCACAGCGAGCCCTTCCTGCTGTCAGGTCAGGAAACACTATATGTTAAATATTCCTTAGAACAAAATATAGAGTAGAGAACTCTATATACAGTCAAGAAGTCCTTGAAGTTATGTGCGAACTTATATATGTATGTGCATTGTTTCATAGTTTCATCAAAGTCTCAAAGCCAATGATACCCAAAGTGTGGTCCTTGAACCAGCAGTATGAGCATCACTGGGGAACTTGTTAAAAATGTTAACTTTTTAGCCAAGAAAACTATGTATTCACAACTTTTTTCAGGTGATTCTGATGCACATAAAATTTGAGAACCACTGCTCAAAGGCAATATTCAAACTTAAGTGTACATCAGAATGTGAGTGGAGAACTATAGATAGCTGTCAGCCCATAATTAGAAAAATAATGTTCACCAGAGGTTTAAGACCCAAGTCAGGTTAAGAAATAATAATACTAAATGAAGGAAATGAGGTGAATATAGAGATGTTACTAAGGATCAAAGCATTGGGAGAAGGTCTTTGTCTGATAAAGGAAGCTGTGTTCACAGAGGCTAAAGGGCTATTCTGAGAAGTAGAGAGCACGTGTCCTTATAGGACAGAAATAATAGCTTCCTACAAAAGGGCATGACAACACAGAGCTTTTTCCACATGGTTGTACTCAGTAAATATTTACTGAATGAATGAAGTTGAGAGGGCAGAATTGAGTCTGTATTTTTAGGGTGGCCTCCAGGGATTTTCAAAACATCATTCCTGCCAGAACTTGGATCCTCTGTGTTAGCTTAAATGTGGCTTGTTAATTGGAAGAGAAAGGGGTTCAGATGTACAACTCAGTTTTTCAGGTCTTAACCACTGTTTAGAATAGGTGTAAAAAACATTTAGGCAACAACTCAGTATTTTGAGGAGCATAGTTAACAGTTAAAGAGAATGTTGGAGGGCACTGGGTTGTTTCCACATATTTGCGATTATAAATTGGGGCTGCTACAAACATTTGAGTGCAAATGTCCTTATGATAAAGTGACTTTTTCTTTTGGGTAGATAGCTAGTAATGGTATTGCAGGATCAAATAGGTTTTTGAGGACTCCCATACTTCTTTCCATAAAAGCTATACTAGTTTACAGTCTCACCAACAGTGCAGGAGTGTCTCTTTTTCACTGCACCCACACCAGCATCTGTTGCTCTGGGGCCTTGTGACATGGGTGTTAATATGTATACCGTGGAATGCTATTCAGCCATTAAAAATGGTGGAGATTTTCTACCTTTTGTTATACCTTGGAAGGATTTGCAGAACACTGCTAACTAAAGTATCACAAGGATGAAAAATCAAGCATCCCATGTATGCAATACATACTAAATTGTTGAAACTTGTAGATCAACAACAACACGCACATATGAGAGAAAAGCTCAGTTCAATTCAAGAAGTGGGAAGGAGGGCTTGGTAACTGATACATGGCACCCTTCTTACATGAAGGTCATAATTACAACTTGGACTTTACCTTACAGATGTAAACAATGTAACTTAATCATATATACTCTCATATTAATCTGAAAAAGGAATAAAAAGATAATTGGGATGACCTAAATCTGGGAATAGCAAGAAAATACAGTAGATAGCACTTTAACCTGAAAACAGCCAGTGCCTGCAGGCTGCGTTTGAATTATCTTTGGAGGTACTTATGACAAAATGGGTGTCTGTGTTGAGAGATGAGAACAGGAAGAAGGAAGGATGGATTAAGAATGCAGATAGCAGATCCAAGTCTAAAACTATGATCTCTTCCGCTTTCAGTTTTAGAAAATATAATTCTATTAAAAGATGTCACAAATCCAATAACATTAACAGCCCTTTAGTGACTTTTATTATTAATTTATTGTTCCAAACATACTTCATTAAATGCTAAAACATATTGCTTGCCTAACTTGAAAACTTTACAGCCTAATGTTTTGGCTATTTTCCCAACTGGCCCGTTTCTTTGTTGATAATGGCTAGACATATGGAGGTGTGAGTAATACTTCTCATAGGCAGGGAGCTGTGCTGAAGAGCAGGGTGTGGCATCTAATAGTGTAAAGCAATTTCCTGTGACACCTGAACCTCTAAAACTGCCTGAGGTAGCGTAGCACATAGTTAGGTGTTATTGAGCTCCTAAAACTACAACTCATGATGTGTTGGTCTCCAAAAATCACAATCTCTTAAAGCCCAAGGTATGGAATTTGATAAAATTACCAACTTAAGTTGGTATGAGAATGTTGGCATGATTTCTTTTAGCCTTCTGAGATCTTGGTACAAGAACACAGGAATTATTGTTCTCCAGAAAAAACTTTTCATAGCTCTTGCTGCTGTCTGTACTGATCAGCAAATCTGTTGGCGGGAGAGTTAGTGGAGTACCATCAACATAACATTGATGGTGATAGATACTGGCATCTGACACCATCATTGGCTATCTCTGGCCTTGACTTTTTAGATAGGGGTAAATATTTAGGTAAGAGTCTCCTAAACTAATAATTTGAAATGGTACATAACCATGGAAAAGAGAAAAGGAATACCATGGATTCCTACATATCTTCCTTCTCTGAGTGTGCTAACTCACATTTTCATACTCTCCGTCTCCCTATAGTCTTTTGCAGGAATGCTGTATGTCCATTTTTAAGTGGAAAACCTAAAGTTGAAAGGAAAAATTTATAATCCAATCACTAAAAGCAAATTATGTGACATACAAAGAGAGCAAAGACCTTCATATTATACCCCTTAGAGAACTTATAAATAGTTGGGACCTCATCTCCTTTTTTTTTTATTGTAGTAAAGTCTTTCATTTTAATATATACATAAAATTTTATTTGTACAATAACAAAATATTCTGATCGTCCAAATTTTTATAAAAAACTAAAGACCTTCACAATGTTTTGGGGGAGGCTTACTGGAAAGAAGAGTCTTGCTTCCTTACAATAAACATCTCAGACATCCACAGGCACAACTTTTGCACCTCACTGAAGGATGCAATTACTGCCAATCTTCTACTTTCACTGTGTACCACGGGCACTCAGTTCTTAATGACAGTAAACACACTGGCAGTGATACACTGCCATTCTCTGAGGGACTTTGATGGTCCATTAAAGTAGGGACTATGTCTATAAAATTCAATTTGGATATCTAACACAAACTTACTGTAAATTAAGCACCTAATTTTAAAACACTCTGTTTCCATAATTTTAGAATGGGAAACTCTGGTATTCATTTTTATTGTACACATTCTATATTCTAGGTGCCCAAGAATAATAATGATACTTCTTCTGTCTAGGCATGATTCCTGTCCTAGGAATCATAGTCAAGTAGAGGAAGAGAATTATAATGAAGAATCTGATAAATGCTAAAATATAGACCTGCATATACTGCTAAGGAAGTCCAAGGGAGGAAAGAATTGTCTTTGAATAGTTTAACACGTGAATTGGAGCAAAGTTCATGGAATTAAAATTTTAGGATGCTGTAGGATGAGGAGGACTTCACAAGTCAGGGAGGGGCTGTGTAGGGCTGGTAGTATAACCACCACCAGCAAAGGTACACAAGACTGAGAGGAAGTTTAAGGAGCACCAAGTTCTCCTGATGGTTGATATGAAGGGCACAGGAGAAGGGAGATCTGAGTCAACACTTGACTTCCAGATG